CTTGATATGTTGTCACATATTATCGCATGCTTGTTACATGTTTGAATTAGTTGCATGCTTGTTCACATGTTCATGTTGCATGCTTAGCTTGTATGTTTAGGTTGCATATCATTACATGCATCTCTTGCCTCTTGAATCAATTATGATAGGGGTTGGAGGCCTCTTATTTGTTTTGTGTGCATTTCATTTGATATCAAATGCATACTCGACTCATTTGGCCATCACGCATTGAAATGCGTGATTGATGGTCCGAGGATCGGGAACCATACTCCTTTGAGTCGTAAACATGATAACGAGTGTGGTGGTGCAGACATCGCTTTGAAAATGCTTTGCCATACTCTGTTTGTCCTCTGCTGCTGTCAAACAGGATTCTGCAGGAAGAGATGGCCGGTCGGCCATCTTCAATGCCGGCCAACTATCCATATTTGGCCGAGAGCTTCATTTGTGGTCGATGACCACTTTTTCATGGCCGGTGACCATTTATCTTGGCCGGTGACATCCCACAGTGTTCAGGGAGTGTTCCAGAACCAACCTTGGGACTTGTGCAATTTGCAGAGGCATAAAACAGTGCAAACAGAGGCAGCATGAATATGGCGTTGGATTTCCGAGCGAAGCCGAGCGTGCATGCATGCACCCCTCTTCCCGAGGCTGTTTTAATGCTTTCAGTAGCTTAATTAATTTGTTTAATTAGTTAAGTGGTTATGTAAATAATTAATTAGCTTGTTAGTTAGTTAATTTGTATTATTCTCTCGAACCCTCCGAGAGAGGGCAATTGTGTAATAAGTGTGCGTGTGTGTGATGCATGTCTTCTAACCCCACGTCTTTCTCCCTTTTATTTAACCACTTATGACGGTTAGTTTTAGGGCATATTTGATTTAGCATGCCTTATGCTATGCATGCGTGCATCTATTCATCTGTATTGCATGCACCGGGCTCGGCGCATCATACTAACTGCATTGTATTTCAATTCCAACTTGAATACGTGTATCGAGTTGTTGCATTTCACATGCCATCTTTAGACTAACCGAGCCTATTCTAGTGATATTTTGTATGTGATGCATTAGCCATTCTAAACATGGACTTGGATCATACATTGATTGTTAACACATTCTTTGTTTATTGGCTCAAAGTACACTATGAGTATTTATGCTTTAGTATCTTGCATGTATGTAAGTGTTAACATGACAGCATGCTTGCTATGAGGCTAACTGTTTATATGATATAACTGCCTAAATGCCTGTGGGTGAAGGTTAGGTTGCTTGAATTGGAATAATTCGTCGAAACCCGTGTTTTAGCCTACTTGCGAGTAGCAAACTTCAAAACCATTTCCAAACAAACGGATATGCGATGCTTTGTTCCAAATTAGGCGATCTGGTCTATATTTGTATGTTGTGCGCATCACATAGTAATTCTAGGCTAATAACCGGAATAAGAGCATGTAATATTTTCAAAACTCGATATCATGTTTAGTAGTGGCCTATCTTTGATCAGGCGAGCGGGGGTGCTCATAGCTGACCTTCTCCAATCGTACCCAAGTTCCCGAGCTGAGGCAACTTTGGTGATGACGAACACATGGCCTTAGGCAACGAGTCAAGGTTTCCTAAATTTCTCCAAAAATAAAATATTTAGGTGGCGACTCTGTATCTGGCAAAGCAGTCCATGTTTGGCACTTCTTTCTAAAAAATCTGTTTTCCAAAACGATTTGCCGGATTTGGACTCTTTGGTGATTTATCAATCTCACATCGCACATTGTGAGATTAGATTCAGAGCCGTGACATTTGAGTCCAAACTGTAGTAAGCCCCAATGAACAAAACAGGATTCCCTCCCGGGACGTTCGGGGATGTCTACACTGAGCTATCAACTGACTTAGTTTTTTATCATTTTCAGGTGTTAGAAGGACTTAGAGTGGACTTGTGGCATAATGGGGACTCAATAGACCTCTAGGACATTCATTTATTTTGTTTTGGACTGTTATGTCAAATTTGTGCATATTTATATTTATTTTCATTTTTATTGAGGTTCATTTAGGATTATTCTGATATGTGGGCTGTTTATATCCCATAAGTTTGGATGGTATTGATTACGGTTGGTTTTTCCGTTTATACTTGTTACATGTGACTGGATTGAGTTTTGGTTATTTATTATTGGACTATTGTTTAGTTGTTCAATGTGATTATGGATTCGTGTTTAGGCTTACATGTGCCTTCGGCTAAGGCCCTGTGGGCCACGGCCAGTCATACCCGGGTTTGGGGTGTGACAGTTAAGGAATGAAACAGAGGTGTTCATTTAGCTCAAGAACGACGTGTGTGGATTACTTGCTATGGTGTGCCGCTCAATGTATGGAACTATAATACATTTAGAAATATTGGTAGGGTGTGGGGTGATGTGATTCAGATTGATGAGGCAACATTAAGAATGGAGTTCTTTGGTAGTGGCAAGATTCATATTGTTACAAAGCATATGAATCCTATTGACCAAGTGGTTAACTTGGATTGTGAGGGGACATTGTGCCCTGTATGGGTTTGCGAGGAGCAAGTGGTGGTGTCAAAATTGATTAAGGAAGCCTGCAAGTGTCTATTACATATTTGCGTTGATGATTGCAGCTCTATCGATCAAGAACTTCATGGTTCTGTCAATGGTGGGCAGAGTTATGAGAAGACAAGTGAGGTGGCAGCCTATGTGGACCGTGAGGTGGAGCATTCGAATGAGGTGGCAGTCAATGTTCGGTAAGAAGGAGGAGGCTGTGCTGAGGTGGATGGAGTTGATGGTTCAGATACTCCATTAGTGGTGGCTGAGACAATGCGCAGTCATTTTGGAAGTCCAAACAATAAGATGGCGTGCGCTGTTGATCTGATAACAGCCATAAGTACAGGAGTTAATGCGAAAAAGGTAGGTAAGGAGGTGGAGGATGAAATTATCACACTAGGGTTCATTGCAAGTGCTAATGGACTTGAGGTGGACCGATCTCAAATTAATGTGGAAGTTTCATTAGGTATAGCCCGTACGAGTGGGCCTTTATACAATGGGCCTCTATATCAAATATGTCAAAGCCCACATGGAAGGAATGAAGTGGATAATCAAAATTCTATTAAGACTTCAGCCCAAGTTCGTGAGACCGTTGCTGTGAAGTCAAGTGATGGGGTGGGTCATTAGAAGGGGAGTATTGTGAGCCTTAATTTGCAGATTGGAGCAAGGAAAACCAGGAGCAGAAAGAAGCTGAGCAAGTCAGAGGTAAAGATGGTGAGAAAACTTGCTAGGGGTGCAAAAATTTCGAAAAGTGAGAGGCAATGCCAGTTGGGAGTTGGCATAGAGGAGTACTCTTTTGGGCAGCAATGAAGGTGGTATCCTCATCTTTGTCTAGTGGTCATGGGAATGGCAGGGAGAATAAGTTATTGTCTAAAGCTCAAGCAACTATTAGAGTTGGAAGAATATTAGGCCTTAACTGTAATGGATTGGAGCAAGAAACAATTCATGTTAGGGAAAATATATGATTTCCCACAAGTAAATCAATCAATGGGAATAAAAACTAATGCGGAAAAATTAAATCAAAAGCAACACAAGAATTTTTACGTGGTTCCCTCAATGTGAGGTACGTCCACGGGATCGAAATCTGATTCTACTATCAACCAAAGAGTTACCAAACGATTACAAACGAGACATGAATGGTCTCACAAAACCAACCTTAGGTGAATTCCAATAATCACAAATAAACAAGAGGAAAAATCTCACCAAAAAGATGAACAAAATTTTTTGAAACAGAGTTGTAGAAGACATAAATCTGAATCAAACTAGCACCAAATCAGAGACATTATGCTTCCAGAACAAACCCACCAAAATTGAATTTCCCAGCACCTATATTTTCTCTCACCGAAAAATATATATATAAATACCCGAAGCACTATGTCCTATAAATCAATTAGCTGTTGTTCCACAAAGCAAATCCCATCAAATTGATTGATGACAAACTGCTCTATATTAGCCGATACACCTCTTCGGAAGAACTAAACAATATATTTATATATTGTTAAATTTTGGGTTTGTTTTATCAAAACTTAGTTGTTACCAAACTGAATTAGGTCTCTAAAAATTAGATATAAGATATATAAAATATATTATACCCAAACCAAACCAAACCAAATTAAAATTCTTTTAATAAACCAATTGGGTCCCATACTCCAATAAGGAGATATACCCCAACAATTCAGAGATGTATGGAATTGGAAAAGAATGATGAAGATCGGGTAGCACTTACACGGGTGGGTGCTCATCCTTGAGCATCATAATTAGGAGGCTTGGGTGTTTAAATATTGTTTTATTGAAGATTTTATCATGGAATATCAGAGGTTTTGGTAGGAGTAGGAAGTGAAAGAAGATTAAAGCGATGCTCAGAGACAGAAGTGTTGATGTAGTGTTTTTCCAAGAGTCTAAGAAGGGTGGGGTGACTGGGAAGTTTATTCGAGCAATTTGGCCTAAAGAGGAGTTTGATTTTATGGTTGTTGATCCTAAAGGGCAAGCAGGAGGCTTACTTTGTGTTTGGAATCCTACTGTGTTCAAAATGAGGAGTTGTTGCAGTAATAGAAACTTTATTTTGCTAGCAGGTACTATCCTTCCTTCTGTTAAGTGTGTCTTGATGAATGTGTATGCCCCTAATGATGTGGCCAAAAGAGGCAAATTGTGAGAAATTATAATACGTCTAAAATTAATTTTTGCTTATCCGTGGCTTTTAGGTGGTGATTTCAATGAAATCATGTCAATACGGCAAAGAAAAGGGTGTTTAAGGAGGGATCGGGGAATGCGAGAATTTAATTCCTTTATTAAATCAATGGAAGTTACAGATCTTGTCATGCCAGGATGGAGATTTACCTGGTGTAATGCAGTAGATAGGGATAAGTGGAGTAGAATGGACCACTTTCACATTTCCCCTGAATGGTTAGAGGTGTTTAAACTCAAACAATAGGGGCTCCCACGGTCTGTGTCAAATCACTGCCCAATTATCTTAATGGAGGATGCTAAGGATTGGGGACCTAGACTGTTTAGGTTCATTAATGCATGGACTTTGCGTCCACAGTTTCTATCAGTCATTAAACGTTCGTGGGAGGAATCTGCAGTATTTGGATGGGCAAGTTATGTTATTTTTTCTAAGTTGAAAGCACTCAGAATGGCGTTGAAGACTTGGAATTTGAAGGTCTTTGGAAATGTGCAGCATAAGTTGAAAAAAGCTGAGGAGGAGCTCCATTCTCTTGATTTATGTGTTGAGTACAGAGAGCTTGATGATGGTGAAAAGAGCAGAAGGAAGGTCTTAAAGGGAGAGGTGTGGCTATGGAGGAAAAGAGATGAATGGTTGTGGTTACAAAAGTCAAGGATGCCATGGGCTTTGAAGGGGGATAGGAACACCAGATTTTTTCATATTATGGCAACTAGTCAGCAAAGCAAGAATCTAATTAACACATTATTCATGGATGAGGTTAATTATGATGAGCCAGCAAGTATAAAAAGGGATGTACATAGGTATTTAAAACACTGTTCACAGAGGATTGAAAGGTTAGGCCTATATTAGATAGGCCTTTTAAGTCTATTGGGGCTGAAGCTACAGTGGCTGAACTTGAGTCTGAGTTTACAGAAGAAGAAATATGGGCTGCAATATAAGGGTGTGATGGTAATAAGGCCCTAGGCCCTGATGGGTTCAATTTGTCATGTTTTCAAAAATGTTAGAAGGTGTTTAAACCAGACATTCTGCAATTTTTCAAGGAGTTTCATAGGCATGGAAAGTTAACAAATGGTATTACTAGTTCCTTCATTACTCTCATTCCTCAGAAGGATTGTCCCGAGTCCTTAGCAGATTACCGCCCTATTAGCTTGATTGGTTCCTTGTATAAAATACTCTCCAAGGTGCTAGCAAGTAGAGTGAAGAAAGTTACTCCTAAGGTCGTTAGTAATGTATAATCTTCGTTTCTAAAAGGAAAGAATATTTTGGATGGCGTATTGATTGCTAATGAAGTTGTGGACTGGTGGAAAAGAAACCATAAAAAGGGAGTGATACTAAAAATTGATTTTGAAAAGGCCTATGATTCACTGAACTGGGGTTTTTTTGTTGCATATGTTGAGGGGATTTGGTTTTGGAGATAGATTTGTCAGCTGGATTAAGGAGTGCATATCCTCAGCAAGGGTCTCGGTTTTAGTTAATGGATCACCTACACAGGAGTTTTGTCCTGAAAAAGGGCTAAGGCAAGGTGATCCTCTGTCCTCATTTTTGTTTAATTTAGTGGTTGAAGCATTAAATTTGTTGTTGGTGAGAGCACAGTCCTTGGGATTGGTCAAAGGTGTAGTATTTAGAGATGGAGATGAAGCTATTACTCACCTGCAATTTGCGGATGATACTATTATTTTTTATGAAGCGGAAAGGGGGGAACTGCTGACCATTAAAAGAATTTTACGATGTTTTGAGATTATGTCTGGGCTTAAGATTAATTTCCATAAGAGCAGTGTATGTGGTGTAGGAGTGACTAATGCGGAGGTATCTGAATTTACAGATCTTCTTCACTGTATGAGGCAGAAGCTCCCGTTTATTTATCTTAGGTTGCCATTGGAAGCAAGTCCCAAAAGAGTAGCCACATGGAAGTTGGTAATTGATAGGTTTCAGCGTAAGTTAGCCTTTTGGAAAAGGAAGTTTTTGTCCTTCGGAGGAAGACTTGCTTTGATTAAGTCAGTGCTTTCAAGCTTGGCTGTTTACTATATTTCGTTATTTAAAATGCCAGAGAGTGTGGTGAAAACTATCGATAAAGTGCAAGCTAAATTCTTATGGGGTGGTGCAGGTATTAAGAGGAAAATTCATTTGATTAGGTGGGCAGAGATCACCAAAAATAAGTCTTAAGGAAGGTTGGGTGTCAAGAGAATCAAGGAGTTTAATGACTGCTTACTTGCTAAGTGGTGGTGAAGATTTGGCAATGAAGATAACACATTGTGGAGAAAAGTAATTTGTTCCGGGTATAGTTCTCTAGGGGGGGGTTGGCAGCAATTTTTTGAAGATATTAGCGGAGTCTCAAGAGTATGGGGTGATATTCTTTCAGTAACAACTGGTAATGTTCAATTGGGTCGGTTCTATTTGTCACAAATCAAAATAGTTGTTGGTAATGGGTGTAGAACTAGCTTTTGGAAGGATAGTTGGGCTGGTGAACAAAGTCTTCACGAGCTGTTTCCAAGGCTATTTTTGTTATCAGTAGAGAAGGATAACACTCTTGGGACAATGATAGCAAAGAACGGTGATTCTGGGACATGGGTGTTGGAGTTCAGAAGGCCGCTTAGAGCATAGGAGGTGGCTGAGAAAGGAAGCCTGATCAATATGCTTAATGGTTTTTTGCCGACACTGGTGGATAGTGTAGATTGTTTAAGATGGTTAGCTTCATCTTCAGGTCAGTTCAGTGTTGCCTCTTTGTATAATAGGAATGTATCTCAAGTGACTTCTGTTATTCCTTCTCTCATTTGGAATAATTTATCTCCTCTTAAAACACAATTCTTAAGGTGGTTGGCGTGGAAGGGGAGGGTCAAAACAGTGGCTTATCTGTAGCGGATTGGTGTACTCTCTGGTGCGGTTCGGAATACCTGTGTTTTCTGCAATAAGGATATTGAAGATGTCAATCATGTTCTTTTGTTATGTCCAATAATTTGGAAGGTGTGGTCTAATATGGTGGATTGGTGGGGGTTAAGGTGGGTTGTCCCTAGTTCAATTGAAGCGCTTCTTAATTGGTGTGGTGGGTTTAAATTTAAGAAGCTTGAGTGGATGATTTGGAAAACAATTCATATGGCTGTGTTGTGGTACATATGTAAGTGCAAGAATGACTATGCATTTAGAGGAATTCAACCATAGGTGATGGATCTCGGTGAGATGGTAAAAACTAGGATAGCTCTGTGGGTTAAGTTTCATAACCCAAGCTTTGCTTTTTCTATGCATGATCTGGTTCATAATATGCAGTTGATTAGGGGCCAAGCATTGTGATCTTCAAGGGCTTTTGATGGTTGTTCTATGCTTCTAAGAAAATTGGAATCCGGTTTGACATTAGAATCTATTTGGGTGATGTATGCTGCTATTGTTTGCTGATGTTGGCTGACTTATACTAAGCTGATATGATGATCTGGTCTGAAGGTGCTTGTTGATATGATGATATGCTTAGCTGATATGATGATCTGGTTTGATTTTCGACGACTTGATGGAGTTGGAATTGGGATTGAAGTTCATGGTTGTTCTATGCTTATACATGGCTTGGAGTTGTTTGCTGCAATTTGGAATGGCTGACTTGATGTAGTACATGGCTGTTGGAATTGCTATTGATTTATGTGAGAATTGCATTGTGGATTAAAGCATCATGTTCAGGTTTGGCCTACTTAATGACTTAAACCATTTTCAAGCTGCACCAGGTCAGACTTTGTTCCAGCTGATGTTGTAGTACATGGAGGTTGCTGATATATGGGTGATACTGATGCTATTGGCATTTAAGAGGTGATATTGTTGATTCTTTAGTTGATGGAGGCTGCAGCTCTGCTGTTGATGTTGATTCTATAGTTGAGGCAGTGGTCTGTGTGGCTAAGTTAAAGGTCATAGACAGCATAGATAACTAGGTCTTGCCAACCTATTTGAATTGTAGCTTTTAAGATCAACCATCCCATGTTGTACTGATATGTTGGACTGATATGTTTGCACTAATATATGGTTATGGTCTGAACTTTTATGCGTGCTATGCTCATCTGTGGAATGCTAATCTGATATGGTGACTGCCATAATGAGGTTGTGCTAAAACTGATAGTGTTATGAACTGATATGCTGAGGCTACTGAAGCTGATCTGCAGATGGAAATATGCTCTGCTTGGATTGCAATGTTGTTTTGAGTTTCTCCTGTTTCTTTGGTTGGTTTCTCACAAACTTTGGGGGTGCTAGCAAATGATAGGATGGACTTTTTGGTACCAACCTAGTTGGGATTAAAAATTCTAGGTGATTCGTGATTAGATCAAGATTAAAATATTTCAAATCCCAATAATCCAAAACACACAATCTAAATCAACAAGCACTTACGAAAGTGATTTAGATTGTTTGTTTTTCGGAATGAACAATAAATCGACACAAACGATTTTTACGTGGAAAAACCACAATTGAAGAACCTTCAATTGTAATAAAAAAATCACGGGCTAACCACCACTAATCAATCCACTATTGAAGAAAGAAAGATTACAAAGATAATACACAAATTACCCAACTCAATCAATTTGTCTTCGAATTTTCTGTAACTCTTTCACCACGCCTTCGTCTAAGAACTTATCAATCTTGAAGTTGAATCCACAACTTCACTTGTCGAATTAACGACTACGTACAGAATCAAACGCCTTTTGAAACTCTACGTTTGAATCTTCAAAATCCACCGAAGAATAACGCTCTTGTATGTATACGAACAATCTCCTTGATATGTGCCTCTCAATTCATGAGTTGAATACTCAATCAATATTATCAAGGAAAACTCTAAAAAAAAAACCTCAGAGGAAAACTTCAAACAAAACCCTAGGACTCCTGAATAAGATCTAGAAAAAGTAAAGTAAAATCAGCCTAAACAGGTATAAATAGGCAACCTGAGTTCGCGATCTCCGCTCGAGCGCCCAACAGCCCGCTCGAGCGGATTCAGCAAAACATGCGTATGATAAAAACAGAGTTCCACTCGAGCGCTTGAAAACCCGCTCGAGCGCGAAATCACACACTCCAGTATTTTTACAAACCTGACAAAATACTGAGAGAACCCAATCTCCGCTCGAGCACTAATGATCCCGCTTGAGCGGGAAGAACAAAAACATAGGAAAAATTACAACTTTTTCAACACAAAGTTTTGTACTCGGATTTGACAATCAAGGGACCTAACAACCTCCCCCTTTGTCAATTCCCGGACAAAACCTTTCTAAACAATTGTCCTTAAACACACGCACTAGACAAGATTAATAACAAAGAAAAAAAACTCTAAACAACTCTATTATCAAACAATCTTGCCATGTGATCAATCCATTCATCCAACTTCATCCAACATTCACCTGTGAAATAGCTAGCAACAACTAGAAAAAAACAAAACTTGTGGAACTGTATAAGAATATATCAAAACATATATAGAAAGATATAAGAATATATCAAAACATATTTAGAAAGATAACCATGATACAGTCTGACAAAACCAAATATCCAAATAGCAACAACGTATCCAACATATCCAAACATGAACAAAATATCCAAATATCAAAATATGTACCACCAATGTCAAAAACATGTCCAAAAATGTATGCCACCAATGTGCAATGAATCACCATGTATCACCACCAGGGGGAGGCAGTGGCTGCTGAAGCTAAAGTAAGGAAATGATGTGCGCCAGCTGAGAAGTAGTGTAGATGGCAGTCTGCTCCAACTGACCAAGGCGACCATCAAACGCATCAAAGCGTGCATCCAGAAAGTCCAACCGCCGGGTCATAGCCTCCTCAAAATGCTGAAGCTGATCATGAAGAGCTCAAGGTGGAACAGCATCCGCCTCACCACCAGTGGCGGCAGCGTCAAACTCCGCCTCCTCAGCTAGTCCAGCAGCAGTACCTGCAGAAGTATCGGCCCGAGAAGACTCCCCCTTAACATGAGCCCGATTTTGAGAAACAGTTTTCTTTGTGAATGGTCGGGAGGGAAAGGCAAACTCATCATCCTCTAACACTTGAACCTCAAGTTCGGACAAAAGACGGTTGATCATACAACCATAAGGAAGGCCTAACTGTTTATTCCCAAATACACCTATCATCTTTTTAATAATCAGTGTGGCAAGATCAAAGGACATGCGACGAGCGACACAGAACAAAATGAATCCTTGGTCTTGATTAATTTCGGATGAGTGAGTGGTCACAATGATGTTGGCACAGACAATAAGATTAAGCAGTCTAAC